AGTCACAGTATTATCACCCGAGTTCGCGACAACGACATCCGGATTTCCATCAAGATTAAAATCGCCGACAGCAACTGATTGTGGATTTGCGCCAGTTGGAAAGCTTCCTTGCCGGATAGTGTCGTTTATGCCATTTCCAAGTAGTACAGTCACAGTATTATCACCCGAGTTTGCGACAACGGCATCCGGATTTCTATCAAGGTTAAAATCGCCGACAGCAACGGAAATCGGACGAGATCCAACAGAAAGGAGCTGTGATACAAATGCCAACTGACAAGGTGTAGCTAAGAAGACGATTCAATAGTATGAACAATAGGAGACAAACACAGATATGCATTGGACATAGATGGATGTAGAAAAGCTATATGCGACACTTTGATGCGTATACGCGGTTGATAGTGCAAACCATATACAGATACATATATTACTGCTGGTTGCGAAGAAAAACAAAACAGATATATCCGAATATGATAGGGAACCGGCCCGCTGACCTATCTATTTCCTATCTTTGCATAACTTCCAGGGAATGATTGATACCGGTGAGGGAAACAATTTAGTGCTATGTGATGATCGGTCGCTTAATCGCGGGAAACTCGCCTGCAACTCCTAGTTAAATTTTCAATATCTTATATTCTGAATAATGGCTTTCAGGATTAACTCAGTGCTCTTTTATCTAATTTATCTTGAACATTAAGTGAAAAATTCTGTCATCCTATCAAGTTACAATCGATTAATGAGTGTTTTTTGCTCAAATATGATAAGTGTTGTGTGACTTTTTTGAAAATATCTGGAGAAAAGAGGTATTGCTGTTCGGGAAGTTTTCACCAAGACTATAGCCATAAGTTAGAACTGCAGTACGGTAGAAATGCCGAAGTAGTGTCAAGCTCGTTGATTCGGCAATGCTTGAAAAGATGGATACCAGCGATGATTTTAGTCAGTAATCACTGTATTTCAATCACGATTTCGAAGAGACATCGAGAATGAAAAAAATATGTGTCTTGATGAAATGTTACATAAGAGTGTCAGCTTCTATATGCATAGAACTATAGTACAAGCAGTGTAACTAATGTTATGTGAAAGCACGAAGAAAACAAATGACCATTATGAGACAAGACTCCTTCCCCAAAATTTACTATCCCAGCAGATTTTCTAAGCCAGTTAGACTAGAAGGAACATCTTAATTTTCTCTTATCGTTGGTATGTATAATCAATAGTGCTAATAAAGGGGCAAAATCAGATTTCGACTCATCAAAATTTATTTCAAAATTCAAAATGTGAGAAAAGCCACCATATCATGACAAAAAATAAAAGATCAAGGAGAATTCACAAAATTCTGTTCAATGTAGAGTCAATAGAATAAAATGCTCTAAATCTCCAGAGTTTATTCTATTTTTCTTCGTGATTGCTTGTTGAATCATGTGAAATAGGATTGACTGACTCAGACGGTATTCGATGGAAATAAAAAGCTTTCTTTTCTACTTTGATTAAAAGTGATCACAATATAAAAGAGATACGAGAATCATTTGAATGGACAAGTGAGGTCTTAAAGAACTTCAATCTCAGAAAATGTATTCGTCACAGTGGTGGATGTCGGTGTAGGATTCGATGTTAGCATCACCCCACATCTTTCTGACTTTGATAAAATCCTAAGGGCGTGAAAAGCGAATCGTCGGATCTACGGGTCCATAATGATCATGGTAAGCCCTTATAAATCCTGACAGAACTTGATAAATGATAGAATAAGTTATTTGCAGCGTGTCAACAAGAAGACGAAAAATATTAATCTTATTGGATGCAATGATCCATTAGATCAAAAGGAACTAAGCGAAAAAAGCGGCAGAGGAGTTCAGAATTTGTGACAAAGAAGAAAAATAGATCAAGAGGATACTAAGACGTTTATGCGTCTCAATAAGTTTTAGTATATCACGATAGATTCTGCGCATTTTAAGGAGTCGTCACGATTTACGCTTCCTTCATTGATTTCATATAATTGCAATGCTTAACACTTTTTGCTGTATTCTGGTTGTCTCTGATAAATTGTATTGAAATTTTTGAACGGTATTCGATTCCGATGAGTTCTGGCAACTTTTGACACACTTCGATAAATCTATTCTACAATCTTTTACGGCTCAAGAATTCCCCGGGATCCACTGTTTCCCTGGTCGCCTAAGGAGGGTGGAACTCAAGACCGTCTGCTACTTTAATATCAATTCTATTTTTTCCTTTAAAAAGCTTTAAATGATCTTTCTAGATCATGAACCTGGGTGTTGGTGGATATGGGTGTAGGTATAAGTGATTATGAGATGTGGAAGCAGGTCTTCTACACATTTAAACCAACACGCATCAATGGTTTATACTAAATTGCACTATCTCAAAGAAAAAACATGAATACATCTAATGTAAACAATACGTACGGCCATGTTGAGAACGCTGGTAGGATCCGACATTGTGAATAAAAAAGGATTTTTCTAGGTTGAACAATGAAAACATCTCATTAAAGATTTTCCAAAATATTGTTGCAATCATATACACAATTCATTCTAAGAAAACCAGTCTTATGAATTGCTGATTATACTTTGCCTGAAAATTGTATTGATATGTAAGTTTTAAATTAAAAACAGAAAAACAAGACTTGAAAACATTACAGAACTGATGACTTTTCTACTCATAGATTGATACTATCATGTTAATCTCTTATTGTCTGATTATACAGAAAAGCTTAATGTGTTCACATTTTCCATATCATTTTCTTTTCATTCGTCTCTTTAACTTTATCCTTCAGATTTGCATTGATCTGTCTTTCGTATTGTTATCACTAAATGATAAAACACTTTCGAACGAGAGTTTAAAAACTCAAAGTAACTATCAACTAAAATTCAACAACAGTGTTTGAGTGATTTCCTATTACATTCACAAATATGAGTAAAGTGTGTTTTTACCTGATCTACAGAAATTCATTGATGTCAATGGTAAGCATACTGCTTGTGGTGAACAACACGAGTTAACGATGCATACCGAAGTATTTAGTGCACAAGTATAATTTATATTATTACATGGTTCCAAAATAGAGCATAGTATAGCAGGTGCGCAGTAACTAATGTTATTGAATGTGCGGTAGTCGAAGCAAGGTGTTAATGATAAACGACAACTGTCACTACTATTTGAGCTTGTATAGCATTGTTGTAAAGAACAGGTTAATATTGGCTGCCACGCGGAATGAGCTGATGTTGAGAATGTAAATTCGACAATTTTGTCACTTACATTACAATAGTAATTAGATACTCTTGTAGTAGCTTGACCTAAACATTGCTTACACAATGAAAGAATGAAATGAGAAGATATAAATCAGCAAACCTTGCACATGCAAAGCGAAGACCACAGAAAATAGTGCTATTAGAAATCGCATTGTTTCTCTGCAATGAATGAGTGAAAAAAAGTATTCAAAATGAATTTCTTTTTTGCCTCGCTTTATGATAAAATATCGACTGAATTT